GCCGGGCCGATACCTGAGGGCACCGAGGGCTCCCCGGGCCGGGCCGATACCTGAGGGCACCGAGGACTCCCCGGGCCGGGCCGATACCTGAGGGCACCGAGGGCTCTCCGGGCCGGGCCAGTCCCTGAAGGCACTCGGGTGGTCAGCGGAGCCGGAGCCGGTCCCTGAGGGCCCCGGGGGCTCGGCGGGGCCGGTCCCTCCTCTCTCCCCTCACGACCCGGAGCGGCCTCTCCGCCCTCCCGCCTCCCCACCACGCAACACCGCCCGCTCCCATTGGCTGACAAACACCAGCCAATCCGCAGCGCCAATACTCCCTCGCACAGTCCGGTCCAATCACCGGCGAGCGTCCCGCGGGGTGGGCGGGGCCTGGCGAGGCCGGGGCTTTCCCGCCAATCAGCGGCGGGGGTGGGCGGGGCGCCCTCTGGCGGCGCGCCCTCTGGCGGCGGCGGGCGGGGAGTGCGCCCCGCGCCCTTCGGCCCCGGCCCGGGGAGCGGCGAGCGCCGGGAGCCGGACCGGGACCGGCACTGGGAGCGGGATGGGGACCGCGCCTGGAGTAGGAGCTGAAGCAGCTGCAGGTGAGGGCGTGCCAGGGTGCCGGGACTCCGCGAGGAGCGGCGGCGGGACCCGGGCCTTGCGGGCGGTGCGGCCCCGCGGTGCCCCCGCCGGGCTCCGGTGTCGCGGTGTCCCGGCGGAAGGGGGGGGGTTGTTGTTGTTTCTCTCCCGTGTCCCGAGGTGTGACTGGGCGAGACGGGACAGGGCAGGGGAGGGTGACCCGGGGGTGTCCCGGGGCTGCCCAGGAGGGTAACCCGGGACTGACCCGCAGGATGACCCGGAGGGGTGACCCCGGTCCGGCCGGGGAGTGACCAGGACGGTGACCCGGGACTGGCCAGGGGGTGACCAAGAGAGTGACCCGGGTCCGGCCAGAGCTGACCGGGAGGGTGATCCAGGGCTGGCCGGTGGGTAACCAGGACGGTGAGCCGGGCTGACCGGAGCTGACCAGGAGGGTTACCCGGGTTGACCCGGAGGGTGCCCCGGTGCTGCCCCGCCCCGCAGCCCGGTCCCGCTCCGGTCGCCCCGCACAGTGTCGGTGTGCCCCGGGCAGTGCCATCCCGGTGCTCCCTTTTCCTTGGAGCGCGGGTGCCCCGAGGTGGCTCTGGCTGTGCCATCGGGCTGTGGGCACCCGGGCTGTCCCGTGTGTGAACACCTGTGGCTGTGGAGGAGTTTCTTTAGCAGACACAGCCCTGTCCCCCAGCACTTCACTGCTGGGTTTTGTTGCTCGGCACGAAGGGATGATAAAGTTAAAAAGTTGTCATTCCCCTTGTGTTCTTGTATTGTTCAAGAACTTGGATCAGAGAGTGTGATTGTCTCTTAACTCAGTCTTCTCTTTTTGGTTTTGCTTTTGCTCCTGCTGTGCCTCCAGACATGGCTGAAGAAGACAACATCACCAGCCTTGAGGTACTTGGCTTTGCTCTTGTTTTTTGGCATATTTATTTCCCTGGGAGTGTTTCCAGCAGCTGAAAGGTGCTGTACCTAATTTGATAACATTTGGGCATTGCCTTTAGGTGCTTTTACTTTGAAGGAACCTTTCCTTCCAAGAGTTTTATCCTTTCAAACTTTTGAGGATTGGTCCCATTTATCTGTGTGTTTATTATTTTAAATTTTTTTTTTTATTTGCTACAAACCATTCATAGTCTGCTTTGTATTTTAAACTGTTTGCACAATGCTATGGTTTAAATACCTTTTGTTTTGTATGGTTTTAGCTTAAAGAAGGGAGAATTGCAGAATTCTGGCAGCCTGCTCTCCTTGCATTTGTTCTTAACCATAAACTGGAAACTCGTGGTCCAACAAAGCATGTGGTGCTTTTCACAGTTGTGAAAAACAAAATAGTTCTTCTATTCTATTCTATTTTGGTTCTCAGAACTAAAAAATACACGCAACCTACTCCTGGGCACTTCAAATTGTTTTGTGAAACTCCAATCTCTGTAGTCAAAACAAGGCATGTGACCCTGGGTGCTTCAGAGCAAGGAGGAAGTCTGATGTTTTGGGCAGTCCCAATTTTAAGGCCTTGCTTTCAGTGCTGATAAGCTTTTCCTACCCCTCCCAGGATGGGGAATGTCTCAGTGTTTGCCTTGGACTGCAAGGAGATGTTGTTGGACTCTCAGCAGAGCTGAGTGTTTGTGCCTGGACTCTGGATGGGTGTGAGCATTAGTTATGAGGCTGCATGTTGGTGCTGGTTGCAGTTAAAGTCTCTGTTTCTTAAGGAAACTCCAACACCAAGAAGCAGAGAAAAGCTCTTTATGCTAATCCATCCTTTAAGCAGGTCTTTGCTCCGTTTTCTGATGGAATGAGGGATTTCTCAGGGTTATCCCACAGGTGTTTTGGGTCCGAGAATTGTTTGGGGCTGTGTGAGGCACCTGTGAAGTCCTTGGATTTGGGTGCTGGCCACAGCCCTCCTCAGAGAGGAGCTGCCCATGACCTCACACCTGCCCCAGGTGCTGTCATGGCCCAGGAATTGCTGACATGTCCCAGTTGTCTCCAACAGCTCACCTTGTCTGCTTTGCTCCCTCTGCTCTTCCAGAAGGATTGGCAGTGCTAGAAAAGATCCCCTCCTGGGTCTGGGTGGAGAATACCATGTTTTCACTGGTGAAAACCTTGCAAGAACCTCTCAGGGTTTCTTGGAGCTCTGAATTTCTTCTTTCCCTCGTTGAGGCTGAGGGTTCACTCTGGGCACGGTGGGGTTTTGTTCTGCTCGTGGGTTTGTTTCTCCTCCTCCTGGAGCAGGACTGTGAGTGTCAGTTGGCAACTACTATTTTTGATGTTATTTGAGATCCCACAGGCCTGGAGAGCAGCAGAGCTGTCCATGTCCCTGACACTGTCAAGGGGAAATACATTAAGTGACCACAATAGATTTACACCAAGAACCCTCTGTGTCACCAGGTGTTGTATCTGTTGCTACCACGTATTCAGCTTTTGATTTTTTTCAAATTTTTGTGACTTTCTGCTACTATCCCATGAATAATAGTCTGATAAGAATAGTGATAGAGTTAGTTTGACTCATGTTGGGAAGATAAATTGTCCATGTGCTGTGTTAAAGCGACCTGAGAAGCCAAAGTGAGCGCAGTGAGAGGTGACTGGTCAGGCAGGAGTTTCATTTGTGCTGTAGAACTGGAATTAATTTTATGAGAGAGACCAGTTTGGTGACTCTGTGTGCACTTCATTTTTCTCTTGGTGGCAAAGCTAAATTCAGATGTCATCCAGGTCTGGAACCAGGGGCAGGAATTGTTACCAGAACTGTGTGAAGTGCTTTATTCAAGGACTTGGCAGGTTCAAGACTTGCAGGGTGACATATCTCCTTCTGCTGGCTTTGTTTACTACTTGTTTGTAGTATTTTTTTTTTGCCTTTCCCCCCCTTCTCCTAAGTTTTAAACTGGCATTTGTGAGGTTCTTTTAACTGCCAGGTTTTATTCCTGAGAAGCAGTGGTGGGCACAGGTCCCAGGACAGTCCACCTGAGGTCAGGGCTTTTGCCCATGTGCATCATTTGCTTTTTATGATGACTTTAACCTGCTGGTTTATGACTTATTTTCTCAGTCTCATAAGGTCTTTTACATTCCATTCTTATCCTTGTTGCTCTGAATAACTTAAAACCACCAAAAAAAGAACTTAAAACCACCAAAAAAAAGTTATTGCCTGGTTTAGGGCTGTGTAGAATGTGTTGAACTGACACCAACTCAAAACTCCCCTGATAACCCCTCTCCACTGAATGTTTGTGTTTGCAAAGTGAAAGAAAGATGTTGAAAAACACAATCCAGTTGTGTTTTAAGGTGTGTGACAGACCAGGCACTGAGATGTTTTTATGGAGGCTTTTTGCCAGTTGTGGGAAACTAATTTCACCTTCCTTTTGGTGCCAGGCTGTGATGCCAGGAGATGCAACCCCCATGCTGCAGTTTGTGGAGGACAGGATACACACCACTATGGTAAAGTATGGCTGGAGGTTGGCTGTGAATCCAGAGTGTGCAGCTTCTCCTGAACTGTCAGGAATTGTCAAAGTCTGAGTGTTTGTTTCTTTACTGGCACTGGGCACGAGGCAGGAATTAATTCCTGTTATTTAGAATCACAGAATGGTTTGGGAAGGACCTGAAAGCTCATCCAGTCCCACCCCCTGCCATGGGCAGGGACACCTTCCACTAGCCCAGGGTGCTCCCAGCCCAGTCCAACCTGGCCTTGGACACTTCCAGGGATGGGGCAGCCACAGCTTCTCTGGGAATTCCATCCCAACCCCTCACCACCTTCACAGGGAAGAATTTTTCCCCAATATCCCACCTAACCCTGCCCTCCTTCAGCTTAAGGCCATTCCCCCTTGTCCTGTCACTCCAGGCCCTTGTTCATCTCCTGTACATTGAGTTGATCAGCTCACAGATCTTTGGGAAGAAAAATGTGGAATATTTTGCATGTGAGCCACTGATAGAGCTTAAATTTCTTGCATATGTGATGTTTGAATTAAAAATCAAGTATTTATGAACGTGCTTGACTTTTTAGATATCCTACTGAGCTCTGTGTGCCTCAGCCCTCCAAAAAGTACATAGTACATTTATAAAGCTGAAAATATTAACTTCTTTCTCCCTAAACTTCCCTCCCAGCTGACTGGAATTGCAATTGGAGCTGCAGTGGCACTGCTGTTTATTGCAGTTGTTGTGTTTGTTGTGTACAGAAGACTGAGACAATCCAGTAAGTATTTGATAACTAAGTAAGTTTTAAAAACAGTTTTCCCAGCTACCTTGAGTATTTTTGTAATAATCTATGGTAGTTGTTTGCTGTGAAGGGGTGGCTCTTGCAGGAAAACAGCATTAAAAGGATGAAGAACTTCTGTTGATTCACTTACCCGGGTCTGAACCCAGAATCCAAAACTGTCACGTTCAGGATGCTGGAGGGGTTTATTTCTCCAGTGTGTGATTAGGATCAGCCTTATTATCAGCTGTAAATTATGCAAATGATTTCTGCCCTGCTGTGATTTCACTGTTACAGTAATGAGAAATGATTGAATTAGAGGTTTCCTTTGTGAGATTAAAATTGCCTAATCCTTGTATCTGTTTAGAGAACCCTTTATCTCCTCTGGTGCTGAGGTAGAACCCCAAACCAGCTCTTCCTTGCTCTGGCTTGGCTGCTCAGAGCTGGGTACTGAGGTGTGTCCTGGGTTGGTTTAAACTCTCAGTGCTGACCCTGAGAGGTGCCAGCTGAGCAGACAGGAGCCAGGGCAGC